GCACTTGACTGCTAACCAGAAGGCTGGCAGTTCAAACCCACCAGCCACTCCTCGGAAGGAAGGCTGGGCAATCTACTTATTGATATTGCCTCGGAAACCTAAGGAGGGGTTGCTATGAGTTGGATCCGATTCAACGGCAGATAACAACAATAGGACAGGGTAGAACTGCCTCATAGGGTTTCCACGTACTTTGGACGTCTTATCAGGAGGGACCATTCCCTGGAAAGTGACATCACGCTTGGTAGATGGTCAGGGAAAAAGAGCAAGACCTTTCATGAGATGGATTGACACAGTGGCTGCAACAACGGCCTCAAACATGGCAATGATGAGGATGGTGGAGGACCCGCAGCCTTTCGTTCTGTTGTAAATAGGGTTGCTGTGAGTTGGAACGGACTCCAGGGTACCTAACAACAGCAATCTTTATGCAAGCAGCCTGCCACATCTTTCTCCCTTGGAGCAGCTAGTGGGCTTAAACTGCCAACCTTTTGGATAGTGGCCCAATGATTAACCACTACTCCACCAGGGCTCTGGGGTTTTAAATAAAAGCCTCCAATTTTATTTTAATTATCTGAAAGGTGGGGTGATGTATGTATGGCATCTGTGATAGTCCTTGATCAATAACAGAATAATTGTTTTTATGAAAGGGAGTTTACAGAATAAAGTTAATTCTCATTTATCTGTGCCTGTGAAAATCAGTGCTCCAATCACTTATCCACGAAAAGCCATCAGTCCCCACGATCTAGGCTCCCTTCACCCCATTGCTCAATCAATAACCTATTTAGCAGAACTGTTCTAGTAAAAATATTCCAGTCTGGTGGTGCAATAGTTAAAGCATTTAGCTGCTAATCAAAAGGTCAGTGGCTGGAACCTACCAGCCATTCTTCGGAAGATTGACAGCCTTGGAAACTCTAGGGCAGTTCTTCTGTATCCTGTAGGGTAACTATGAGTCAAAATTAACTCCACGGCAGTGGGTTTGGTGGGCTTGTGTATGCATGTGTGTGTAAGACCAAGACTAGGAGCCCAGGTGGCACAAATAGGTCGCAATCAGATGCTAATCTAAAGGTTGATGGTTCGAACCTACCCAGCAGTGTCACTGAAGAAAGGCCTGGTGAATCACTTCCTTAAAGATTACAAACAAGAAAACTCTATGGAGCAGTTCTACTCTGTAACACATGGGGTCACCATATGTCCGTATGTCCCAATCAACTCCACAGCATCTGCTAACACCAAGACTACCCATTTTCACCCCTAGAAGTCACAGGTTCCTAGTTCCCAACACAGCATTCACTTCCTTCTCCCTTCACGCCAAAAGTTGTATCAGAATCTTTTTACCAAACAAATGTGGGGTTTGGGGTCCAAATAAGATCAGCACTCTGAAAAGAGCAGTCCATATGTAGTTCATGTGTAATTTTTTTTTTTAGAAAATCAGAGTTAAACAAGCCTGAGACAGTGTAACGTCCCCTCCCTTCCCTTTTTTTCCGAACCAATTTCCAAATGTTAAGGACGCTCAGGGTGGCTCAGAGGCTGGGTCTATCCCAGGCTCCTGGGTGCCCACGATCCTGCTCCCCGCAGGGGTCGCTTTGTGCTAATTATGCCCCACCCAAGCAGCACAGAGCGCGGAGAGGCCGGCCTGGGAGTCATTCTACCTGGTTTGGGATCCTCCATGTGCCCCTTCAGGCCAGATGGGCCGGAGCGGCGCGGCCCCCGGTACCGACTTAGCTACCAGTACGGGGGCAGCTTACCTGGAGGGCTGCTGCGAAGAGCGAACGCCCGGCCCTTCCCGTCACGGTGCCGACGAGCACGGGCTGGGCACCATGACACGCCAGGTCCCCTCGGACGGGGGTGTTTGAAGGAGCAGACAAGGGGCTGGAATTGGGGAACCAGCTGCAGCAAGAGGTCAGCGCAGCGGCTCAAGGCGAGGTGAGTTTTGTCTCAGGCCTGCGAGGGAGCCTGACACAAAACTACTTGTGGGGAACGGGGCATTCCCGCCGACCAACCTCGCTCGCGGTCCCGAAATGGGAACGCCCCCACCCCGGCTCCCGTTCCCTTCCGGTAGCCGTACAAATCCCCCGAGGCTCTGCCTCCGTGTGTCACCGGGTCCCGGCTCCGCAGCGCGCGGGCTCGGGCAGAGCTCGGAGGTGAGTCCGCCGCCGCGCACCCTGAGGACGCGGGCGCGTCGGCCCCGCCCCGGGAATGCACGGCTGGCGGCGCGAGCTCCTGCTCAGAGCAGAGGGCGGGCCCTCGTGGTTGGCGGTCTTAGTTCTCACAGCCGCGGGCGTTTAAACCTTCTTGCGCCCAGACTCCCACCCGAACCAATTAAACCAGCCGTGGGGGTGGGGTGGGGTGGGGTGGGACTCTGGCTCCAACGTGCTCTGAAAGCTCCCCCGGGATCATTTGGTGCCACCATCCGTGATCCATTTCCTACAGGTAGTGCCCACGAGAGAGGTGTAGGATGACCAAAAGCGAGATGGGAGTTTGAAAAGACCCAGTCTCTGAAACAATCAGAGGGAGCCGCATGTGAAAACCAAGGCGGTATACTTACGTTTTCGTTGACTTTTTGGATTGTGATTTTGAAAATTGGTTTCACGTGGCAAATGCTGGCGTGAAAAACCAACTGCACCTTTAAAAATCTTGCAGGCAATACACAGTCACGGTGTGTCAACAAATATCTTCCTGTTTGAAATATACATGTGTTTTTTAGTGAGTGTTACTTGTGTCAGTGAAAAGGTGAATTCTGCTGTACTTAACCTTCTGTAAAGGAGCTCTGGTGGCACAGTGCCTAGAGCATTTGACTGCTCACCAGAAGGTTGGCGGTTCAAACCCACCAGCCACTCTGTGGAAGGAAGACTGGGCAATCTCCTTCCGTAGAGATACCGCCTCGGAAACCCAATGGGAGTCGCGGAGTGAGTTTTGTTTGAGGAATCTACTGTAAAGGGATTTAAGGGAAAAAGCTAGTCAATCGAATTGTACCATTCCAGTGATCCCAGATGCAAACCATATATACTCCGGGCTACTGCTTAGCAGATGTAAAGGATGACAAGTGGCAGTACTTCATACAACTAGATTTAATAAGTTGTTATTACAGAAAAAAAAAAATGAAGTCCAAACTACAAAGTTTAAGCAGTTGTAAGCAGTAGCTGCATTGCGCTCCATGTTTAGTCACAGTACTGCAGTTCCATACAAGCAATATTAGTCCAAGCCCCCAAGGCAGAAGCTGAGTAAGGGTTACTAGCAAAAAACAATCTAAGAGAACAGGTAATAAAAGATACAATACATTTAAAATTAGTTGTTAGTTGAAAAACAAATACAGAGATCTTAGCTGTGAACACTCTAAAAGTTATGTCCATTATTTGACAGCAAAAATACAAATACCTAGTACTTTATACCCCAACAGACTATATCCAAGAAACAGCAGAAGTATCCTGTATTAGCACCCAGGTTTTCTACTTGTTGCAATCAACTTCATCATCATACAAATTTAAATATCCCCGAATCACAAATCCACGTCTTGACCCATATTTTGGGGTATAGAGTAAAGTCAACAGCATTAATTATAAAATACTCGGTGGTAAGATGGAACACTATTGCAGCTGAGATAGAGAAATTTGGTTATTAAAAAATAAAACACACACACACACACACACACACAAACAGAAAGAAATGTTAGCTGACGTACCATACAAACTAGTGTCAAAAGCTGCAATCCATTACAAATAAGCCGTTTTAACAAAAAGATACTTTTTTTCACTAATCTGTGACTAATCTTTCACTCAAACCTTGCAAGTAGAGATGTCACAATACTGAAATATGTAGGTAGGAGCTTTACCCAGTTAAATGCCATTTTGTTGCTAATATATAGATAAAATGAAAACTAGCAGTTATTTGCTAATTGCATAAATGCAGTACATTCTGCATTAGCCCATGCCTCACTAACAAGCTATAAAACACAAGATATAGGCAGAAATCTAAGCATAATCTTTATACCACTAAGCAAGAATTTTCCAATTTCTTTTCTTCTGTTCCTAATCACTTATTTGTAGTTAATGTAAAATTCCAACTAGTGGTAGCCAATTTGAGTTAAAATTTTACATCACAACTTGATCTAATCTATATATTATTTACAAAACTGAATACATAGAGCATACCCAAGAGCCAACTCTGGACACGCATTTCTCTGAGTTATTGATAACCTTGCCTCCGTGGCAATGGGAGTGGAAAAGGCCATCAATGACATAGAAACATACCATCTATCTAGAGTAAGTCATTGGATGTTCTGTTTACACAACACCAGTTTTGCAGTTGAATTATTTTTTAAAAAAGAATTTTGGTGCCATTACAATGACAGGCTTCCTTAAGGGCACAGCTTCAAGGTGAGGTGGGTGTTGGAATAGCAGTAGGAGGACAGACAAAGCAGGAATGGCCGGTGTGTTGCCAAAAGGCAAACAAGGGGCACCGTGACAGGGAGCAGGCAGAGGGTGGAGAGGAAGATGCAGCCTGACACTGTCCATATACTGTGGTGACAACAAGTGTGCTTCCTCAGTAGAGTCACCAAGCCTCACATGGCTGTAATACGGGGGGACACTGCAATTGATGCCTACCCGTCACAGAGGGTGGAGTCCTCTCAGTCACTTCCTTTGACTCTTACACATCACCACTGTACATGCATGTAAAAGATTTGGCCTGGGGCAAAGGCACTGTCTCACAAAAGGACAGCAGTTGGTGGCAGGTTCACACACACACAGTCACACATTTGTGCATACACATAGGACATAATGAAAAGTTAGAGGGGAGAAAGCCATGAGATAGTCTGTTGACCTACTCAGGTTTTCAACCTGGTGGTATTTCAGTAGGGTTACTTCACTATCAGGGCCACAGATTTGGCTGCACCTGGTATTGTATAAATCCACTGTGACATCCCTAGAGAACAACTGTACTGTGACATCCCTAGTCTTACACTAAACCACTGTAATAAAGGAAAAGGCTTGTCAAAATCTCACATGTTCTGCTTCATTCTGTCATTTTATTACCCAATTATCCATTACATTTTCCAATCACTTTACATAACCAACCATTTTCATCGTTGTCACACTATTGTAAACCACATCAGCAAGTTAATACATAAAGCTTTGCATTTCAAAAAACTAGACACTTTAGTAACAATATTACAAAGGTTTTAGCTTCAAAAATAACTGAAAATGAAAAAAATAAACTTTTAAAGAATTAGCATCATAAAATTAATTTATTCCAAGTAAAAATACAAAATAATATTATGACATTGACCAGATATGAAAGTCCCTCCCAGAAACAACTCTATTAATGATTGAGAAAGCACTCCTTAAAGAAAATACGAAATAAAATGAAAAATATGTAAATATGTTTAATTTTTTTCTTAGCAAAAAATCTTTCTAAAAATAACAATGAAAATTTGTCTCAGTACAAAGGCTACATTACTATTGAAAAAATACCAGCATGAAGAAAAGGTACATATTTGACAGTAGAAAAATGATTTCAGTGAATCACAATGTCTAAAGTTTGCAATGAAAATAAATCTGCAATAAAGATTTATGCCTTTTTTCTTTTCTTTTTTTTTTTTCTATTTTTTATACAAACAGTACAAACAGTATTGCACATAACAACAAAGAGTCGAGGTTAGGTTATAGCCTTCAAAAAATCGACTAGTTCAAGTGTCACACCAAGGAAAGGCCACAACAGGACCTGTGTTACCCAGGGGCTTCCCAGTCAAGTTGCAGGTCAGAACACCTCTGTGTTTTAAAAAATAATTTTTTTTTTGAAGGACCCTCTCTTTTAATATAACATTAACAACTTGGGGGCACATTTATTTACAAAACAAAAGGGAACATGTTATAATTTAATAAACTAAAAAAGTTCTCTTTAAAAAAATACAAACAGAAGAACTCTTTCACAATCCTGGTCAGTCGTGCACAATCAATGCTTGATTATAAATATACAAATTAAGGGAAAGTAGTTTCCACCATCTATTCACAACTTTCAGCACCAAATGGAGTTGATTTTATGTAACCTGTTCTTTGTGACAAGGTTTTTTCACTTTCACTTTAGCTTTATGCTGTGCAATCTTCCAGCTTTTTTTTTTTTTTTTAAATCTCTCAGTATTATTTTAGTACATGAAAGAGGGGTGCTTCTTCAAAAAGTTTTGCTTCTTTCACATAATTAGGTAGATTTCTGTAGGTTAGATATGATCTTTAATGTTATAGTTATAAAGCTCTAACTTCATTTTCAAAAAACACAAATAAGCATGAAAAAAATAAAGTTACCCATCTGTTAAATCATTTTTCTTGCAGAATTAAATTAATATATATTTTTCTGAATAAACTTACTTAGAAAATATCATTTTCTTTCCTATATTTCAAAATTGAGGTATTGCAAAAGATCATGTCAGTCAGAAAGCATGCCTTTTTCCTTAAAAACAAACAAACAAAAAATCTTCAGCCAACTTTTGAAAACTGCCTAGAATACAAAAAGTGGTAGTGCATAATAAAATTTCTTGTACAGACGAAAAAAAACCCACAAACATAGAAAAAGAAGAAAGAAAAGAAAAAGAAAGAAAACCACACCTAGGCTGGAAAAAAGCAGTTTACCCAAAAGCCCAGAGGTAACCTCAACTGGGGAGGATTCTAGTAAGCATTTTCAATCCAGTAAAAAACTATGTTGTTTTTCCTTTTTGAAAACAAACTCTAGCTTGAAAGCCGGTAATTGCAACTAAACACTGGAGAAACAAACAAAATAAAAACAAGCAAATAGTAACCAAACACAGAACAAGGACATCACAGCACATAAAACAGACACTTAAATCTACTCTGCAGTGTCATATCCAGTCAGATTGTCCCCAGAATTCCAAAACATAGGAAGAAGTATTAAAAAAAGATTGACATATTCTCACAATCATTGTGTGTGTTATTATTACTGTCTGTAGCCCAAGAGTGAATGCTAAAAAAATGTCTACGGTAGTTCTAGCAGGTCTGAATTCTATTCAAGCTTTACAGGATAAATCCAGGGAATTAAGTAGTTAATGTCTCACCCAGACAACCAACTCCACCCAGACCATGTTATTCTGTACAGACATTTCTTTAGCATCACCATTACCCAACTTTCTTAAAATGTGCCTAGTTTGTCAATCTGACAACTTATCTCTCTATACTGTATATATTCCTAGTGTTTGTAAGCTAAGATGAGCTCTTTGGTTTTCTGGACAAGGTTTGAAGCTATATGTAAAATGGTGCAAGCACTAGGAGATTGTGACTAAGAGCTCATGTGTTAGTTAATAATATACCAGTTATGAACTGTCAAATTTGTTAATGTCTGACACAGAGGCTTTAAACAGTTAAGTTTGATCACAGTTAGACATAATCACTTTACTATATAAAATAAATTGCACAATATATATAACAGAGCACCGCAAAGTACTTCATCTACCATCCACAAATTTGCTTGAATATCCTACACCTAGGTTTTATATTGGTTGTAATATAGGTCATTCTGTTATGGGCTCTTTCTAGTTTCAGAAGCATTCCATTTATTGAGGCATGCCTTCCTCCAGTCAATTACCAATTCTTTGAATGAAAAAAATCTTCTTTTAAAAAATGAGTATTTTATAGCTTATATAGCTTATATAGATTCTTAATTTGTGCATCGTGGGAAGGTTTTATACTAGACATTGGATATAAAATTTATTGCATGCAGCAACCTGATTAAGTAAACATGCAGTCAGAAATATTGACCTTCCACTGAAGCTTTCTGAAGTCTACTACTCTGATCTCCTTTCGGCAGCTGACTCTATCCCTAAGTCACAAAAGTGTGTTGTTGGATTTTTTTTTAAATTGATACCTTAGCCTGAATAGAGGATTATGGTATTAATAATACCATTTTCATAGCAGCAAAAGCTATTGCAGCATAAATTTACATAACACTAAAAGATCTAACCAAAATCCTCAGCAAAACAAAAATCAAACATGAAGGAAAAAGAAAGATCCAGCTTATGAGGTATCCTTACAAGTCAAAATAGAGAGCAACTAAAGGCTTATTCTCATTAAGGGTTATCCTTACTCTGAATGACCCCAACTAATGATTGCTGAGTTGTTGTGAAGTTTTTGCTACATCTGCCACCTACTCACGAGTATCACCTTTGGTAAGTCTTCTCCTAGGGGCAACTCTCGAAGTTTCTGAAAATAAGTGCATGCTCCAGTTCAAAAACAATCAGAACAACACCACCACAACAACAAACAGAAGAGTCACAGACATCAACCTGATGGCCGCTGATGAGAATGGCAGTCTACATACGTCACTAGTGACAGTCAGGTGTAAGAAATTAAGGTACCAAGCAGACGAAGGTGTGAGTCAAAGTGCAAATCAGTACCATTATACACTCCGCAGTTTTGCATTATACTGGACACTGAGTTCAGTAATATGACTGTAAATAATAATAATAATAAAAAAGACCCATTTCTTCTTTACAAATCAAGAACGAATGCACAGATTTCCAGAACACTGTGAGCCCTGAGGCAGTGCCCTCTCCTTTCCCTCCTTGTTATCTGTTCCAGTGCTGTGGCTGGGTCTGCCCTGGGCTCAGCTCCAGCGGAACGGGACGTGGCGAGGGCGATCTCCTCCCTCCTTCACCAGCGGTTTGTGGAACTCCCGCCCGGCACGAGAATGTATGCTCGCCCAGCAGTATTCGCAGTAATACTGCAGACAGGTGACGTTGGCACAGAAGAACGGGGCAAACTTCCCGCCACAGCGCGTGCCCTGGCACTCATCACACATCTGATCATCCAGCACATATGGCTTCACTTCCACCTGGGCTCCGAGGAAAGACAGGGAGAGAAGGGTTAGCAAAACTTCCTCTTGTTTCTTCCTTTTAACTCTACAGTATAACTTAACAATATGCTTTAATCAAATGCTTTTAACGCAGCTAACACTGGATGGTAATTGAGAGGATGGACTTTGGAATCAACTCCTTGATTTACTATTTGTGTGATCTTAGGCAAATTCTTGTGTGCTCATCTGTGAAATGGGTGTAGATGTGTCACCTCCAAGGACGCTGCTGAGGTGTAGGAGAGGCAGAACACGGGAAAGCATGCCCGCCGAATGCTGAAGGACGGGCCACATCTCAGAACGCAGGCTAAGGTCTTCCTTAGCACTTAGCACTGTCGGGGGAGGAACCAGCCAGAATCAAGGTCCCTAAGCAGGAATCTTTCGTTTGGAGCCAGGCCTGAGGGCAAAAGTTACACCAAGGCTGGAAAGAAGCTGAAGGGAGCTACTGTGAGGCTCTGGGCATAAACGTTGGAATAACATGCTTTAAAAAGACTTAACACCCAGTATTCTGTATTATGGGAGCTCTGGTAGCATAATGGCTAAGGCACTTGACTGCTAACCAGAAGGCTGGCGGTTCAAACCCACCAGCCACTCCTCGGAAGGAAGATGGGGCAATCTACTTCCATACTGATACTGCCTCAGAAACCCAAGGAGGGGTCGCTATGAGTCAGATCCAACTTGATGGCACATAACAACAACAACCACATTCTATATTATGGATTAGAGAGGAAAGGGGACATTCATGTTAGAAAGCTACTAAAATAACTAAAACTTTTTGTTTTTTTGGCCTGCTTGTATTGCCTTCACTGAAAGGCCATCTTTCAATGCCACCAATCCACAAGACCGGCAGTGTCAACAGACAAGAGAGAACCTTTCATCGCAGCCTTTGTTATTGTTGTAGCGTGCCATCGACTGGGTTCCGACTCATAGCAACCCTACAGGACAGAGTTGAATTGCCTCACAGAGTTCCTAGGCCGTAATCTTTACAGGAGCATATTGTCAGTTCTTTTCTCCTGCAGAGCCACTGGTGGGTTTGAACTACCAACCTTTCAGTCGGCAGTGAGTGCTTAACTGTGCCATGAGGACTCCTTTGGAGGCATGTTGTAACGTAAGTGGAGCAGAGCCATATGATGTGAAAACCAAATGCAAAAAACAACAAAAGTTACACAATTTCCCTCATACTCTTCCTAGAAACTCAAAGATCATTACTATCATTAATTTTTTCATCTTGAATGCTAGGAACTAGCATGAAGGGGCAAGTCTGGCCCTTCCCGTGTGCACTTCTACTTCTAGAGCCATTCTAAAGGACAAGCAATAAAGACTGATTAAAGCAAGCAACAGACAAGCAATAGTGGGCATGGAAAGGACGACTTGCAGTTTTTGGAGATAAGCTAACTTCCTGCAGCTCAGGCTGCCCTCTGGATGGATGCAGCTGGATGGTTCTTGCAGAGATGAGTCAGGCTACACTGGAGGGGGCAGGTGGAAAGTGTGGGGTGAGCAGGGAAGGGACGAGCTGCCTAGGGTTAGACACTACTTTTCTAGTTCTCCTTCTTCCCTTCTGAAAGCCCCCGTGGCCTCCCCTAGAATTTTACTTTAGCCGTGAGCATTAGGCCACATGTCCAAATGCCAGTTAGACATTTCTAGTTGGAAGACTCTGCTGGCAAGACCTGCACCAACTTCTGGTTACCCAGGGAAAAATGTCTTCGCCCGGACTCTAGTCCCCTTTCACCTACTTCCCCCTCCTCAACTTGACCACTTAGTGAGTGGGCTTCAAAAGTCTCTCACATTCATCTTGGGATGGTAATTAAAATTAGAGTAACTCTAGGGTTAATCTGGGTTCAAATTTAGGGCACATGATAGATGTGTCACCTTAGGCAAGTTTCTCAGCCAACCTGAGCCTCTGTTTCCTCATCTGTACATTGAGAAGGAACAAAACTTCCTTCCTATGAGCATTAAATTAGTTAAATCATATAAAAAACAAAGACAGTGCCCAGCACGTTGAAGCACTGTGTGCAGCTATCATTCCCACTTATTCTTTTCTAGGCCAGGCCATCACAACCTTGCACCAGGGCATTATCAGTACCAGTGGTCTCTGGACTGGTCACCAGCATCCATGCCCTCCCATAAACATGTTGACATTTCAGTCATCTACATCCATTATGTTCCTTTCCTAGTCAAACACCACTCAGGTTCTCCATAGCTTATAGATACAGTCAGCTCCCTCTCTCTTAAGACTCAAATACTAGCCAAAGACCCCATGACTTGTCCCAATCTCTCTCCCAGCTGCTTCCCAACTCAGATTCTAACTGGTCTCTCTTTTTACCTACACTTTTGTCCCACCTCAAATGCCCTCTTTATTATGTCCTTCAGCCCACTTAAAAATTTCAGGCATCCAACAAGGCCCACCCTTTATTTTCTTTTACATAAAATTAACAAATTTAAAATGAACAAATTCAATGTACATTCACAGTGCTGTGCAACCACCACTGCTATCTAGTTCCAAAACATACTCAATGTTCAAAAGGAAGCCTTGTACCCACTAAACAGCTACTCCTCATTCTTCCTGCCCTCAGACTCTGCCAACTACCAGTCTGTTTTTTGTCTTTATGGATGTACCTATTTTGGTATTTCATATGAATGGGATCATACAGTATGTGACCATTTGTGTTTGGCTTCTTTCATGTAGCATAATGTTCCAAGGCTCATCCATGATGTAGCATGTATCTGTTTTTCATTCCTTTTTATGGCTAAATAATATTTCATTGTATGTTGTTATGGATTAAATTGTGTCCTTCAAAAAGATACCTAGAAATCCTAACCCTTGTATGTGTGCAAAGGAGCTTTGGTAGCACGCTGGTTAATGCATTTGGCTGCTAACCAAAAGATTGGTGGTTCCAAACCATGAGCTACTCCACGGGAAAAAGATGATGCAGTCTGCTGCTGCAAAGATTTACAGCTTTGGAAATGTTTATACAGCAGTTCTACTCTGTCCTATAGGGTCGTTATGAGTTGGAATTGACTCAATGGCAGTAAATTTGGTACCTCTGCATGTGATCTGGTTTGGGGTAATAGGGTTTTTCTTTGCAGATGTTACCAGTTAGGTTAATGAGGTCATACCTCAGTAGGGTGGGTCATAATCCCTTTTGAGTCAGGAAGAATGGCTATGTGCTGGCCAGGGACAAGGTTGTAGTCACTTCTTGGCCATAGCCAGCTATCCAGAGGGAGCAAGCAGTTGGACTTGTGGGCTCAGGACCGTGGTCCCAGGGGACATCAAGCTCAACTGGCATAACATAGTACACAAAACACTGTTCCACATCCTACTTTGGCGAGTAGCAACTGGGATCTTAAAAGTTTGCAGGCAGGCATCTAGATGCAACAATGGGTCTCTCCCCATCCAGAACAAAGAAGAATGAAGAAAACCAAAGATACATGGAAACAATTAGTCCAAGGAACTGGTACACCATGAGAGCCTCAGCCTACACAACTATGAGACCAGAAGAACTAGATGGTGCCCAGCTACTACTGTTAACCATGCAGAGGGGGATCTATGTAGGAGATCCTGGATAGCGTGGGAGAACAATGTGGAACAAAACTCAAAATCATTAAAAAAAAAAGGTGGGGGGGGGGACCAGGTTTGTGGTCTGATAGAGAGCCTGCTGGAACCCCTAAGACTATGGTCCCTAGCTGCTCTTCAGGTCTGGAATTGAACCCACTCCTGTGGTTTCCAGCCAAACAAAAGATAGGCATATGAGCTGAACATTTACAGTAGGTAGATACACTCCTTGGAGAGATCAATCATGGCAGAATAGAAGGGCTGTGTATGCACAGGGAGACAGCCTGGGTTGGGGGGGTACTGCATGGGAGGGAAGGACACAGGGAGGAGGTGGCTCTGGGGAGAAAGTGGGAAGAAAGCTATTGCATTGTGGGAGGCTGCAGTTAATGTCATGAGAAAAAGTGTATGTGAACTGCTATATGGAGAATGAATTTGCTCTGTAAACTGTCACCCAAATCACAATAAAATTAGAAAGAGAAAAAGAAAAAGAATGGCTATGGGACAGACAGCTGCAAACCACAGAATGCCAAGAAATACCAGGGGCCATAAAAAGCTAGAAGGGACAAGGAAGGATCTTCTTGCAGAGAAGAGAGAAAAAGAGCATGACCCTGCTGACACAGTGAATTAGTACTCCTAGCCTCCAAGGAGCTCTGGAGATGCAGTGGTTAAGAGCTCAGCTGCCAAGTGAAATGTCAGCAGGTCAAACCTACCAACTGTTTCTAAGGAGAAAGATGTGCAGTCTGCTTCCATAAAGAGTTACAGCCTTGGAAACCCTATGGGGCAGTTCTACTCTGTCTTAAAGGGTTGCTATGAGTTGGAATTGACTTAATGGCAAAGGGTCTTTTTCTGTTGTTGTTGTTGTTATGTGCTGTCGAGTCAAACCCGACTCATAGCGACCCCTCCTTGGGTTTCCGAGGCAGTATCACTACGGAAGTAGGATTGCCCAACCTTCCTTCCGAGGAGTGGCTGGTGGGTTTGAACCACCAGCCGTCTGGTTAGCAGGCAAGTGTCTTAGCCACTATGCTACCAGAGCTCCCTAGTTACCCTCAATTTCTGTTCTTTACAGTCACCTACTTCGTGGTGTTTTGTTATGGCAGCCCTAGGAAACTGAGAGAGGGTATTGGTGGTGCAGCAAGATAATTCTTGCCTTCCGTGCAGGAGACCAGAGTCCAGCTCCTGGCCAATGTTCCACATGCACAGCCACCGCCTGCCTGTCAGTGGAGGCTTGGGTGCTGCTATGATGCAGAGCAGGTGTCAGCAGAGCTTCTAGATGGACTAGGAAGAAAGGTCTGGTGATCTTCTGAAACTCAGCCATCGAAAACCCTATCTATCACAATGGTTCAATCACAACCGATCATGGGCAGGCACAGGACTGGGCCGCATTTCATTCCACTGTGCATGGAGTAGTCATGAGTTGGGGACAATGTGT